ATGAAGACTGTCATAAAGACATTTTAGTAATTTGTTTAGCATATACAAAAAACTACATTGTTTGCCTCGATGGTGATGATGGGTTTTTAGTTTTTTTTGATTTTGTAGTAGTAATAGTAAAAATAACTTTGAGTAGTCTACAATGGTTTGAGCCTCGCGCGCGGAATACAGGTGTAAATGACTAATACGTGGAAATTGTGGCAAAAGCCTTGAATTAGTAAAGGATTGGCTGGAAGTCGTTTCCTTGGATATAGTCTTGGCACTGCGGAAGCTTAAACGTGTAAATCCCAGGTCACGTGTAAATGGAAGTATTGTCGAAGACTATACTTGGACTTTTGATAACTAGTTACACCTTTGCATGTTTTTGGTTGATGCTTATAGCATATTTAACAGAACATTTATATCTGTAATTGTAACCAGCTCGATTTTGTTTGCAAACCTGGTTAAAATGTTTATATTTAATTATCTTAAAGATAACTCGTCCAGCTCAAACCTTTGTAGGGGTAAGAGGTGGGACCATCATCATCATCATTGAGTGTCGGAGATTGTGAGTAAGCTGAAGGATGTCTCGCTGGATACGCCCAAGCCTGGACGGGCGGTAGTTGGTGGCCGTGAACGGTTCCTGGGGAAAGCACTAGATGCAACCCTCCTCCCAGATGGCCATGACAATAGAGCTTTTTGACGTTTAATCGGCGCACACTAATGTACCATTTAAAGCGCACGAGTGCGAGCAAGAGGGAAACAGATTAGTGGGAAAACAAAACGTCCATTCATCCATGTGTGCTAGATAGAGAAAGATTATTAAACGTCAAAAAGGTCTATACAGGAAGTAATTGATAATTGCTATTAGATATTTTCCAAAAAGTGACAGATAGCGGACATGAAGAACCATTGGAGGTGCCGAGCAAAGGTGTTTATCCTAGACAAATGGTAAGTTACAAATTCGCTGTTGTCGTTGTCGTAGGCGCCGTCGTAGTCGCTGTCGTAATCGCCGTCATAGTCGTAGGCAGTACCGTTAGAATATTTAAAATTAACCATCAACCGCAGAAAATATGAATTATCGCGTATTTCTGTTGTTCATTACATGCCAAGTGAAATTCGAGAACGTAATTTCATTTGAATAGCTTGTTTAACCAAGTCTTAAACAATCGTCACGTCGGTCATAGCTTGTTATGATTGCCTGAACCATGCGTAAAGATAAAATCGAAACATTGAACGTCGCGTTAAAGTGGATCTTAATGAAGGCCTAAGTATTCTTTCGTAGCTTTTAGTTTTAGGATTTCAAAGATCGTCGGTTGCAGTGGCTTGCTTACTGAGCTGAAAAACGCGGTCCCAGGTCCTTTCATATTAAAAATGTATGGTAAGATCATTTGTTTATCGTGTATTTAGTAAAACTTTTCGTTGTCGTCGGTGCGGGGTTGGAATAGCTATAAAAACTTGAGTAACGCTATAATGTGATATGAGGGGCTCGGTGGCCTTAGAGCAACCGGTTTTGCTTACTGAGCAGAACATCATGAGCCTAATCTCAAGCCCATCCACATTCAAGATTCGTCAATCGTTTTATTTGTTAACATGGCTACATAGTAATAAGAGCAACTCGATGTTTAAAAAGGAGCTCGTCTGCCTAGTGGCAAACGTTTTTGCTTACTGAGCAGCAGACCGTGGGTTAAATCCCAAGCTCCTTCGCGTTATATGATTGTTAGGACATTAATTCAGCTTATCGTTTAACAAAACGAACCCTGCTGCAAACCCAACCCTATTACCCAATATCCCAGTGATTCCTCGTGGAAGTGCAGAGGTTTTTCGGCTTCCATCAAAGCTAGTGTAATGTCAACACATTCCTACCCCTTTCTTTCTTGACCTGTGTTCGGGCGCTAGTCCCAAGCATCGTCTATTGGTTCTCTGTGTAATTACAGCTGGTCTGGCAATAACAGAGTAGCAACCGTGGGCGGTCAATCATGCTCATGCTCATTGCTCTGATGACATCTCGATAACCAGTTCACAGATTGTGATGAAATTCTGCCAACGTAAACATTACAGGGATTGATTGAAGGGTTTAATGGCTCTTTCAGTCTTTTTACTGCAGCAGGTAGAGCACAACAAGAATCAAATCTAACCGAATTTGTATTATAGCCGTAGATGGACGCCATAATTAATCAAAGACGGATTTATGTAACTCTCCGAAACGTCGGAGAGTTGAAGCAATACAACGTTTTTGCTGCAGTAAAAAGAATGAAAGAGCCGTTAAACCCTTCAATCAATCCCTATAACACACCTGTCGCAAGCTCTCAAACTTTCGTAAGTAACATGGCCACCTCATACAACGTCCACTTCTAGCAAAATTTAGAAAATATCTACGGTACGCAAGCTAAATTGTGCTGCAAAGACTACGCCAACACAAACAAAACGCAAGCATGGCAAACAGAAAGTCTTTCCTCATCAGATGTCGGAAACAAGGTGTTTTTCCGGCGCACATTGCAAACAACTTTCGTTTCATAAACTCACTCCTAGAAGAAAACGGTCCGTACACTAACAAGCTGAGCCGCTGTGTAACTCAGTTTAAGAAGGCTGTCCTCAACATAGAAATCCAACAGACTTTCTTCAAAATCAAACAATTAAAGCAACGTCTGTCTACCACTGCTGACCAGATCAGAGCATCTGGCATTCCAGAAGAAATCACATAGAATTTCATCGCTAACCAGTCCAAGTTCAGATCAAAAAGCATAGAGAAAAGAGCTGTCAAGACCAAACAGAAGTTTAACAGAATACTACAAGCAACTAGAACGAGTTCCAGTACAAGCGAACCACAGATCAATCCGAAAGCATTACACAATGGAACTCAAAAACAAATACCGGCAGAGATGGAAACACTGCTATCACTCGGACCACAATTCGCGCTCCCCGTTACATCCGTACATCAAGCCCCAATCTACCACCTCCTAGCAGACGTCGAATGCATCCTCAAAACCAATAGCGATAATGAAATCCAGGATCGAACTCGTTGTGGCATAGCCAACCTGATCACGAACAGAGTTGAAAATTATCTGGGGAGAATCACCCGGGTGCAAGAGATATCATTCTCTGGGGTGAATCTCTGCTTGTCTCCTCGGAGATTTCTCCTGGCAACACTGGAGAGATTTTTAGACACAGCACGAGAGAGTGAGAATATTGACAGTTCACTTTTTGTCTGTTTATACACTCACTTCCGTGAGAAAGATAGCAGCGCAAATGCGTTATTGTTTCTCCAAAGATTCCGGCAGAGCTTGACGTGAGTGAGTGAAAACATCAATAAAATGGCTGAAAAACGTATACAACGACAAGGGCGTAGCCAGGTTTTGAGCTAGGGAGGGCAAAAAAATTAACTATGGAAAATTTTGCCGAATGCCATTTCACCGAACGCCATTCCACCGACAGCCTTTGGGTTGTTGAGTTTAGTGCGGTTTGAGGACAGTATCGAAAAGGTGGTTGTGAATGTTGTGCTTTTCAGGGCAAATGGAAAAAGAAACATTAAAAGTGGTCACGGTATTCAGCTTGAAGCGGCATCTCGTCAATATTCATCGGGTGTGCTGGTGTGGCTAGCTCGCTGCTCCTCTCTCCATTTTCGCTGCAGCTGCTGACGGCATTCCAAGTGCCTTCCTCTCGACACATTTCAACGACGACATTCTCCACGTTAAGGACGGGCATCTCCCTTCACAAAACTGCCTCGAACCTTGGACAGTAGAAGACCACATGCTCCGGCGTTTCATCCACGTTCCAACACTCCTAACAGAGGGGTGACACTGCGTGTCCGAATCGATGTAGATACTTCCTGAAGCAGCCGCGGCCAGACAAGAACTGCGTTAGGTGGAATTTGACGTCTCCGTGATTTCTGTTCACCCAGGTCGAAAAAAATCTGTATTAGTCTACGTGGTTAGGTTAGGTTATCTTTAATAGCGAGACTTTCAGCCAGAGGTTGTTTCATCTCTTTATTAGTCTACGTGTCCATCTACCGTTCTCTGCCGTGTTCCACTCCTGTTGCCACTTAGCCAACGACTCCGCTCTCACAACTTTCCGTACTCTTCCAGCTTCCCTCCGCCTGTAGCACTCGCTGTCTTCCACTTTGAGGTTATGGCATGCCCCCGACGGTGATATCTTCCCGCTGTACCGCTTTACAGTTACTGTCCAATAGAACTTCCGTTTTATGATGGACCATCTGCAGCTTCGCTCCTTACATCCAGTTACCAATCATGTTGATCACCTCGGTCGTCAGCACTTCCACCTCTTCCAGCGTCTCGCCTGTTACCGTCAAGACGATGTCGTCCGCAAAGCCAACGATCTCAACTCCTTTGGGCAGCTTCAGCGTTAGACCAAGGATGGAGCCTTGTGGAACTCCCGCTGTGATCCTAATCGATCTCTGTCCCATGTCTGTCTGTAGACTAAACTGAAGCAAATTTCAATAATGGTGCGCTGACCATTCGTATTCGCATCGCTGACCACGCCCGTATTCGCATTTCCAAAATGTGTACACCAAATTTTAAAATAATTGACTACTGTACGTTAATAGAAAAAGTAACCTTTAAAAAATCTTTGTATGCAACAAACCTAAGAGGAAGAGAAGACAATACGGGGGGCGAAAACGAATCACTTTTCTGTCAAGCGCGAACCAGCTCGTGATTGGCCGATTGGAAATGCGTAAGATAGAGATAGAGATAGAAATAGAGATAAAAGAGTAAGAAGTCAGTTGTCTCCTCTTCCTCTTAGCAACAAACTAACAACCAAAATCTTCACCGGGGTGATTCTCCCCGGTGAAGCAAACGAACTCTCTACGGTGCTCCCTAGTGATCACTCATACGCTCCGGTGTGTTGGACTGGTGGAGGTGCGAGGTCAGAAACTGTATTTGTTTGCGAAGTGGGAGAAGCGATAGAAACTGAAAACAAAATAAAAAATCTCTCGGGTGAGTTTGCTTTTGTCATAGTGCGAGGTGTCTTTTCAACTCATCACTCTGCTTACACTGGGGAGAATGGCATCCCTGATCACGAACTACATCCACCACATCAAACACGGTCAAACACATGCAGATCCTCTGGACAAATTCCTCAATCATGCTGAACGCGTTTGGGCAAACTCCGATGTACTGATAGTTCCGTCGGACAAGGGAAACAAAACGGTGCTCATCCAGGCAGACGAATATCGGCGTAAGATGCAAGACATGGTAGGCGATCAAACAACTTACAGACTTGTACAACGGGATCCGACATCGAGAAATCAAACTCTGAACAACAACCTCGTCAAACGGCTCCTAGACTTGAAACTGATTGATATCAGAACAGCGAGAACTTTGAAAACATACAAAGCCGTATGCCCGCGCATATATGGACAACCGAAAGCGCACAAGGAAGGACTACCACTCAGGCCAGTAGTGCCAAATATGACAGCACCGTCGTACAATCTGTCTAAATATGTTGGTCAGATCATTCAAAAATCCATCAACAGTCCATACAACATAAAAGACTCCTTTTCATTCTGCCATTTCATCAATGAAGTTGAGCTACCACCCGACTACGTGTTGATTTCGCTCGATGTCAAATCGCTTTTCACATCGATCCCCATCCCACTTATTCAACACGACATCATCATGCGATGGAACGAGATAATGCCACACACGAACATCAACCTGGATCTGTTCCTGGAGCTGGTTAACTTCTGCGTAGGATCCAGCTATTTCGTATACGATAGGAAGTACTACGAACAGGTGTTTGGAACGGCCATGGGCAACCCACTATCACCCATAGTTGCTGATCTGATAATGGAAAGCCTATTGGACACGACTATGCACAAGTTGGACTTCAAACCACCGTTCATTCGCAAATATGTGGATGACCTGATAACAGCGATACCACTTGAAAAACTACAGCATATTCTGGACGTATTTAACAGCTATGACGTTCACATCCAGTTCACACACGAGTTGGAAGTGAACAACAAATTACCGTTTTTGGACATGTTCCTCGTCAGACAGGACAACCAGCGGATAAAAACAGAATGGTACATGAAACCCATCGCCAGTGGACGTTTTCTTGATTTCCTTTCGTACCATCCCATGAGCATGAAACTGAATGTTGCCAAAAACTTCATCAGCCGAGTCTACCGACTACCCACCAACCAATCAGACGAGGAAAAAGCAAACATCATCGACAACCAGCTCAGACTTAATCACTATCCTGCTCATCTACGACACCGTCTGATAAATCGCATGACCGAACATCACCAATCGCCTAGCATAACATCAGCCGACGAAGATCAACAACAGCAAACACCTCCAGTCCGGCAAGACACAGCACCACCCGAACAATCTACAGGATCCAACCAACAGCACCTGGAACATACTTACCGGTCAATGGTCCACATACCTCATCTCTCGAGCAGAATCGAAAGGCAGCTAAAACGAGAATATCAAAACATACGTCTGGCGAATCGAAATACCCACACTGTCAACAATACTTTCAGCAAGACTAAGGACCCAGTTCCTCCTGGACACCAAACAAACGTCATATACCAGATACCATGCATGCTATATTGGGATGACGAAAAACAAACTCGACACCAGAATGTACGGACATAAATCACATTATAACACTTTAGATGCACTACAACAAACCAACACCAATCTCCAAGACCCAAGTTTCACGCAGCTAGCTGAGAAAACAGCACTTTTGCAGCACAGCATCGATAACAACCACCGTTTTGATCTAGGGAAAGTGAAAATTATAGATAGACACGAAAAAGAATACGCATTACCACTATTAGAAATGTGTCACATTCACAACAGTCAAAACAGTATAAACAAACGTACAGACACAGAAAGTTTGAACGTAGTATATGCGGGGATTCTACATGCTCTCAAAAACAACACAAATATTAACACAATCAATAGCAGACAAACCACAACTCAATAACAGACTATACAGACAAAATATCTCAGAAATACACACAAAAAGAAAGTGAGAAGCAGCACAATTGCCACACGCGTTTCCTATCCGACCGCAAAACTTTATCTTAAAAAGCACAGTTGCTTAGGTAGTGTTTTTAAAAAAAAAAACTAAGCGGAAAAAAAAAGCCTAACGTAACAGGGAAACACAAAGTTGTGGAAACGCGCTTAGTAAGTTGGGTGTAAAGGGTGATACGGTCAAAATTTGGTCAATATCAACTTGACGTATTTCTTTCAATTTTGCATTTAAAAAACCTGAACACCCCTCATTTTGAAGGTGTGTGTGTGTAGAATGTTGCTCCTATTTTGATTTTGGAATTCACTCTTCAGTTGTCAAAATGCCGTCCAAGCAAGAAGAGCAGCGTATCAAAATTTTGCTCGCGCATCGCGAAAATCCGAGCTACTCGCACGCAAAGTTGGCAAAATCGCTAAAAGTTGCCAAATCAACCGTTACAAATGTAATTAAAGTGTTTGGGGAACGTTTGTCGACAGCCAGGAAGTCTGGATCGGGGGGAAATCGAAAACCGGAAGCCGCTGAGACGACAAAGAGAGTTGCCGGTAGTTTCAAGCGAAACCCTAACCTCTCTCTCCGAGATGCCGCAAATAAGCTGGGTGTATCGTCTACAACCGTGCATCGAGCCAAAAAACGAGCCGGACTATCGACTTACAAGAAGGTAGTGACTCCAAATCGCGATGATAAACAAAATACGACGGCCAAAGCGCGATCCCGGAGGCTGTACACGACGATGCTGACGAAGTTTGACTGCGTGGTAATGGACGACGAAACCTACGTCAAAGCCGACTACAAGCAGCTTCCGGGACAGGAGTTTTATACGGCAAAAGGAAGGGGAAAGGTAGCAGATGATTTCAAGCACATGAAACTGTCAAAGTTCGCAAAGAAATATCTGGTTTGGCAAGCCATCTGTACCTGTGGCTTGAAAAGCAGCATTTTCATAGCTTCCGGGACTGTCAACCAAGAAATTTACGTGAAAGAGTGTTTGAATAAACGTCTGCTGCCTTTCCTGAAGAAACACGGTTGTTCCGTACTGTTTTGGCCGGATTTGGCATCTTGCCATTACGGTAAAAAGGCCATGGAGTGGTACGCCGCCAACAACGTGCAGGTGGTTCCCAAGGACAAGAACCCTCCCAACACGCCAGAGCTCCGCCCAATTGAGAAATACTGGGCTATTGTCAAGCGGAACCTAAAGAAGACCAAAAAAACTGCTAAGGGCGAGCAGCAGTTCAAGGCAAACTGGCTTTCTGCGGCGAAGAAGGTGGACAAGGTGGCTGTACAAAATCTGATGGCAGGGGTCAAGCGTAAGGCCCGGCAATTCGGATTTGGAAAAGCGGAAGCCTAACTGAATATTTTTCCTGAATTTTATACTAATTGAACTTGAAAAAGAAATTTAATTTGATTTTTTAAATAAACGATTTCACCGATTTACACGCGTTTTCCCTTGACCAAATTTTGACCGTATCACCCTTTAGAGTAGAGCACAACAAGAATCAAATCTAACCGAATTTGTATTATAGCCGTAGATGGACGCCATAATTAATCAAAGACGGATTTATGTAAAACCACGCATACACTTAACAAAAAAACGTAGCCTCTGTAAGCCACACAACCAACACAGTACGTATCCAATTTTCTAAATCCTCTTAATTGTAGAAATCTTTGAAAATGGTGAAATATATCACCGAAACTTCGGAGAGTTGAAGCAATACAACGTAAAAAAGACTGAAAGAGCCGTTAAACCCTTCAATCAATCCCTATAACACACCTGTCGCAAGCTCTCAAACTTTCGTAAACATTACACTCTAAGTAAAAATTTCTTAAATTTTTACCCAAACGCTTAAAAGTAAAAAATTAATTAATGTAGGGGAAATTGATGTAATGTCGGCCTAAATGCCCCTAATTTAGGCCCATACATAAATTCTGCAATCGATGAGATTTTCAATAGCAACCAAAAATTTTCATTACTACCGTCCCAATGACGCGTGCATCTAGGGTAAACGCTCCTATAGTTGCGGTACGTTAGAAGCGTTAGGTTCCTATAGTTGTGTATGGAGACTCCATACACAACTATAGGAACCTAACGCTTCTAACGTACCGCAACTATAGGAGCGTTTCCCCTATATAAAATTGATCAAATTTTTAGCGATGGGCCCAATCTTCCATCCATAGGCCAACATTAGAGCCATTTCGCCTATCTCATTTTTTTCGAGTACAGTATGCTTGCGCTCTCGAGTTGTTCGGAAAGTTCGTTTCAATAGTGTTCGCGCTCTCTCTTTCGCGGTGTTTGGTGAAGGCTCGCACGATTCCAGCATGAGGAAACCACCGCGTGGTGACGCGACTGCAATTCCGACCGAGAAACGAACCCGATTATACGCCGCTGACGCTCAGTTGGCATCGAAAAAGCAGCTGGCGAACAACCGGCCATATTGGAAAAGGGCGATGAACCGAAGGTGGAAAGGAAGGAGAAACTTCCGCCGTTTTTCGTGAAGGGATTCGACCACGGCTTGCGGGAGACTGTAGACTTTTACATTGGTTAAGGCCTTCAAATTACCATTCGATTGTGGACGGAGGGCTGCAACCTGATGGTCCTGGCGATGAAACATTACCAGGCGGTTCAAGCCATGCTGGACAAACTGAAGGTGGAATATTGCTCCCACGATTTCGAAGCCAACAAGCCGCTCAAAGTGGAGCTGTGTGGCCTCCCGGACGTGGATACCGACACACTGTCGGATGAATTGAAGGTGAACGGTCTCAAACTGGTGCGAATTTTCAAGATGGCTCGTCATGACGTCACTCACAAGTATCACAAGTGATAAGCTGTACCAGTGTATCTGGTCCACCTCGAGAAGAGTTCAACGTGCATAAAGGCTCTGCACAATGTTCGAGCCCTATTTCACATCGTGGTGAAATGGGAATTGTACAAGCCAGTGCATCGTGACGTCACAAAATGCACGAACTGTTTATTGTTCGGGCATGGAACCAAAAAATGCCACATATTGCTGCAACAAATATGGCAAGAAACACAACTCCGGCGCTTGCGAGATAATGGAGGAAGCTGATCCCATATGTGCCAACTGTGGGGCAGTACACAGGGCCACAAACAAGAGCTGCCCGAAAGCAACCAATCAGGCCACAGAAGGGTACCGGAAAACAACGGGCAGAACCCCTGTTGAAAAGGCCAATGCTCTTGGTCAACACTTTGTGAATTCACATAAGCTTGGCCAAGTCATGGTGAATCCCCACGAGCTAGCAGTATCGAAGGCAATTTCTAGAGTCGCTGCCACCCCTGTAGTTGTCCCTGACTAAAGTAGGTAGAATATCGGCTGATGAGGTGATTGAAGGCGAAGAACATGAAGGCCGCTGGTGTCTATGGAGTGGTCAACCTCGAGTTGAACAACTTGAGTGTTGACTTCTTCGAGCACCTTGCAGAGGCCTTCAATAAGTGCAGGCTGGAAGTTAGCCAAAGTCATTCCAATCCACAAGCCGGGCAAAAACCCTACCAGTGCCAAAAGCTATCGCTCCATCAGCCTCTTGTCCTTCATCTCGAAGCTATTCGAAAAGCTGATACACAGCCCTCTGCTGGTATTTACAAATGATAATAACATCTTTCTCAAAGAACAATTCGCGTTTAGAAAAGGCCACTCTACCATTCACCAACTCGCACGGGCTACTAACATCATCAAGCGGAACAAGTCCGTTTCCACGACATCTGCCATGGCATTGTTGGATGGCCTTGTGTACAAGCTGCATCGATACAACTTCCCGATCTTCCTTGTTAGGTCATCAAAAACTACTTGTCGGTCAGATCATTCCAGATCTTCTTGAACAATTCTAGTTCTGATACGTTCAACGTTGATGCTGGTGTTACCCAGGGTAGTCTTCTTGGTCCTATTCTCTTCAACATCTTCACGTAAGATGTTACTCCACTTGCGGGTGGTGGTATTTTGTCAATGATTGCGGATGACATCATCTATAAGGGTCGAGAGATCCGTGCTCTGACGAAAAAAATCCAATCAGTACTGGATGTTTTATCCAATTATTTCAAAAGCTGGAAGTTTTGTATCAATGCAGCTAAAACACACACCATACTATTTCCGCGCATATTTAATTATAATAAGGCTTAACTACCCCATTTGCGGCCTATTGATCTAACGCAGTTTAGCACCAAACGGAATGTTATTATTACAGACGGCTTCCAAATTTATTTACCTTTACGGTACGTAAAAAAGATTTGATAAGAGAAACCAATCGTTGAGATATTGTCAAAAGTCTAACACTGCTTCTTGACGCTAAACTCGGCCTACGGATTCTAAACTCGGCCTATAAAGCATTGAAACGCCAATGAATTCACTTCGGCCTATCGGATGAAGATAAAAATTAATTCGGTCGGAGCGCTCCTTTTGTTTTTCCGAATAATTGGTGCAAACCTTCATATCACG